CGCGGCCCGGGAGCCCTGTGCACGGCACTGGGCCGCTCCCCGAGCTTTCTGGCGACCAGGGGTCTGCGTGCGCCCTCAGCGCCCGCCTGGGCGGCACAGCGCACAGCACTCGCCACGTTTTCAGCAAACGCTGGCGGGAGGGCCCGCTCGCCCGCCAGCCCCGCCTCAGGCCTCCCTGAGAGAGCGGTCTCGGGCGAGCCAGCACACGGCAGGCGGCGACGGCATCAGGTCGCAGCGTCAGAGACGCCCAGGTCTGTCCCGGGGCCGCCGCTGGCCGGGACAGTGACCGCTAGTGGCCACGTCGCGCGGAGGCCAGGACCGGGCAGGCTAAACCGCTGAGCCCCCGGGCACAGGGAGCACATGTCCACGCAAACGCCCGCACGCCGGGGGGCCGAGCATCGTCATTCAGTGGCCAGGAGGCAGGAAGGCGCACCCCAAGTCCTCGGCCCAACGGACGAGCAGGCACGGCGGGAGGAGGCGGGCCTGACCAGGCGACAGCCGGGCATCGGGAGCGCCCTGCCCAGCCGCCGGGCCACGGACAGGGAGCGGGAGGCCGTGGGGCAGGGGCGGCCAGCGGTTGCTCAGGCTGGGGAGGGCTTGGCCAGGCATGGCAGCCGAGGGCGCCTGAGTGACCCCCGGGGCCGGTGCCCCTTGGCCGGCCCCGAGGGCAGGTTCGGGGTGCTGTTCAGCGTGGCCACAGGGCCCCACGTCTCAGTCAAAGCTGTCCGGGGCTTCGCTTTTAGCCAGCGCTGGGGCCCCGGATGCCGGCAGGTGACCCAGCGGGCTGGGCCCGGCTCCGCGGCTCCTGCCCGCACCCCCCACCCCACCCCCCCAACCCCCGCTCGCGGACCCTCCGCAGCTGCCCCCCGCCCCCAGGCGGGGCCAGGGCCGGCCAACCCCGCGTGTGCCCCCAGGTGTCCTACGTGAAGGCCATCGACATCTGGATGGCCGTGTGCCTGCTCTTCGTGTTCTCCGCGCTGCTGGAGTACGCGGCGGTCAACTTCGTGTCCCGGCAGCACAAGGAGCTGCTGCGCTTCCGGCGGAAGCGCCGGCACCACAAGGTGGGTCTGCGGGGGCGGGGGCGCCAGCGAGCGGCCTGGGGCAGCCCCCCAGGGGCCGGGGTCCCCCGAGCGCCCCCAGGCCCGGCCTTCCCGCAGCTGAGTGGGCCAGGCTCCAGCGCCCCGCGGCCCCAGGGGCCTCTCAGCTGTGAGGGTCTGAGCAGGGCATGAAGTCCCAGCTGAATTCTGAGGGGGCTCCCCAGCCGAGGGCCGGCTGCACCCCAAAGGCGCCGCCACTGCCCGGGGCCGCCGCTGAGACCCGGCGGTGGTCTGCCCTGGCTGCCCCTCCCGGCCCTCTGCGAAACCAGGCCACCGCCGCCCAGGTTAGGGAGACCAGGAGGCCCGAGTCCAGGGCCGGGCCGAGTCCAGGGCCGAGGCCTTCGGGCTGCCCTGGTGTAGCGCCACCCGTGGGACCCGAGGGGTAACTGACCGCGGGGAGGGGACGCCCTCCACAAGGAGGACATGGCTCTGG